GTCCACGTCCATCCCGTCCTCTTCTTCCAGCAGCTCTTCTCGCTGATCCATCTCAAAGTCCAGTCCGAGTACGCTGTCCATAGCCGCAAGCGTGTAGCTCAGCACAGCGCTCTCCGTCAGCATCCTGTCCGCTCTCGCATAGTGCCTTTCGGTGTAGGGCAAGAGTGCATCAATGACCGAGTTCAAATCTCCCTTGTACATCTGTCCCGCTCTGTCACTTCTCCTCTTTTTCCTCTTAGCCTGCTCGCTTTCCTCTGCCTCCTCATCATCTTCTTCCTCCCGCAATTTCTCCTCTCCATCGTCCGCCGAGGAAAACTTGGCGGGCGGCTGGAAAGCGTCAATGATCTGCTCGGCCGAGTAAGCGCGCAGAATGGCATGAAGGACGATCTGCGCCACGGGAGCAGTGCGAGCAGTGGTATTCCAATCCCTGACGTAGAACAAGAGCTGCTTCAAAAGACGCTGTGGCAGCTTGCCAATGACCTGATCTACAGCCATCGATCCGGTGATCGACTCGCTGTCGGCATTTCCTTCCTGCTTGTCTGTTACTGCATTGGCAAATCGAGCAGCGCTAGACTTGGCTGAGAAGACTCCAGCTGCTTGCAGAGCTTTGAGTGTTGGGTCTTCAGCCGAAGCAGTCGGCGTATAAGCTGCTTGCAAGGCGCTCTGCAACAGTTGTCCTGCAGCTTGAGATCCTTGCCCATCTGGTCTGTTCGCGTTCACAGTTGTAAAGAGACTCAGTAATCTTCTGGGCTGATTAGACCTCAGAGCCAACGCAATGGCATTCCTGTAGTCCTTCAGGGTAAGCAAATTGGAGAATTGTTGCTCTCTAACGGCAGGATGGAGGGAGGAAGCACGCGTTGAGCAGCCAGATCTGCAAGTACCTGTTACGACGAGGCATGCCAAGCTCACCTTTCGACTGCGATTTCCCTATCCTTGGCCTTCTCGACCTCATCTTGGACAGTCATGTCTTGCCAAAAGCAGATCCTGCTATCCGCCCCAGCGCTTACAATCTCCCCGTCCCTTCTGACTCCCAGCCCCCACACCCTCTCATCATGTCCGTCCAACGTAGTGACGCACTCTTCATCTTTGACGTTCCACACCTTGATCAATCCATCGCTGGCCGTGCTGACGATTTGCATACCCTTTTGATCCATAAAGTCTACTCTCAAGACGCCATTCGTGTGACCTTCAAAAGTCTTGACGCAGGCAAAGTCCTTGAGGGACCACATGCGAATCGTGCGATCGCCCGAAGCCGTGATGAAGGCGGGATCTGCAGGCGAGAATTTGACGGCCCAAATGCCTCTCTTGTGCGCTTTGCACGTCGAAAGCGGCTTGATGGATGCGCTCGCCGTCTGTCCATTATTCTTGCTCGGCGCCGAGTAGCTCAACGCCCACAGCTTTGCGGTCCGATCTTGCGAACCGGACAAGAGCAGAGCATTGTTGGGCGCAATGTCCAGCGCATTGACGTCTTTGTCATGCACTTTGAGCGTGGCAAGGCTCTGCAGTTTGATGGGTTGGGATGGTAGGCCTTGCCCTAGCGCTTTCGAAAGGGAAGACAAGTCCCAGACTTTGACTGTCCGATCTTGAGATCCAGTGACCATGAACGGTGCTCCTATCGCTCCTGTCGTCGCGGGTTTCCGAGCAAACGCCACAGCACCGACGGATTCAGCATGGCCTTCCGCAACAGCCACGCATCTCCATTCTCCGGCGTTGTTCCTCGTTCCTAAACTGTACTCTTGCGCATCATCGCTCGCGTCGTGTACAGCATGTGAACTGGAGCCAACGCGAGGCGCCCAAGCCCAGACACGCGCGCTGCGGTCTTTCGAGCCGCTCAAGAGCCACTTGCCGTCCCAGCTCTTGTCTAAGGACAAGACGATCGCAGAGTGCCCGGTGCCATCAGCAGACTCCACAGGCAGCATCTGCACATGTTGACTGTCCCTTTCCAAGTCATATACTCGAATAGTAGAGCTGTTGGTTGCCACCGCAAGGTGACTTTCGCCCTTGAGCGATTGGGCATTGTTGAGCAAGGCAAGGTCCACGATCTCGTCGTTGAATCCGACTAATTGGAAGAGTTGCGTCAGGAGAGGTGCAGCGGTCGCCGTCTCAGATGGCCGGGGCGTACTGAGCAAGCTGACGTTTTGATCCGCGTGTATGCTGGCAATCGCATCCAGAGTGGGCAAGTAGTGCGCATCCACAACAGCTCTCGCCTCTTCCGGATCATTTTCCTCTCCACTTTGTTTCTGTTGGACCATCTGCCGATCCCACCTTCCACCAGGCTGAGTCTTGACGACGCATCGACCAGACAAACTCCATAGACGAACCTCTCCCTCTGAACCGGCCGTCCAAAAGATATCTTGGACACTCTTGGAGCCTGCAGAGCCGACCTTGCACCCTACCGGCAAGAAATCCGCCACTTCGATGCCTTCGCCAGCCGTGATGGTGTCTGACATTTCCCACCGTTGCATCTTGGATGAGCTTGTCGAAGGTGCCCTCTTCCAAAATGACAGTGTTCGATCTCTAGATCCGCTGATAAGCGTATTGCCGTCCGACGAGAGGGCGAGGCCTCTCACTACGGAGACATGAGCAGGCAAGACGGCGACCGCCTTGTGATTTGCGGTGTTCTGGATCCGAGTGTTGAGATCCCAACATCGTATCCTACCATCTATGCTTCCCGTAAACAGCTCCATCCTCCTCTCTCCTCCATCTCGTGCACCTTGCAAACTAGGCGTGGAGAAGTTCCACTTTAGTGCGCTGACAATGCCTCCGTGTCCCCTGAACACGTGCGTGCAGAAGCCTCCCACAACATCCCACACTTTCGCCACGCCGTCCGCAGCTCCACTGGCGACGAGAGTGGATGTGGGATCGACAGAGAGGATGGCTACGGGGGCATCGTGTGCTCTGGCGAGTGTTCGAAGAAGCTTTGGCTCGACTTGCTCTGAAGATGGC